TATATATATATATATATATATATATATATATATATATATATATATATATATATATATATATATATATATATATATATAATCACTTTTAATTTTTGTATTAAATTACAAATTTTAGATTCATTTTTTAACTTTAAAAAATATTTAAAATATCTAATAAATGCTTGAATGCTGAATTTTATATTTAATATGTCTGAAAATTTTAAAATATTTCTAATAATGAGTTTAATTTCATCTAATAAATTTCGAATATATACCAATTTTTCTATAAATAATTCATTTTTTTAGGTATAAAATTAGAATCTTAATCATTCTATTTTAATTTTAGTAGATTCATAATAAAAAAAAATGTTAAAATAAAACAAAAATCTTTAGTGTACGGAATCTTAACTCAATCGTGACTTAAGTCTCGGCACGGTCTCCTGAGAAAATATTCAGATATTAGAAAGAGAAGGTAGCTTTTTGGAACCGCCCTACCCTAAAATGCAAACAAAAGACTACCGAACGAAAATTAGCCAAGAACGAGACCATTTTTGGATGTTGATCGCTGATAGTACATGTCAAAGTTATCGAGTTTAAACATTCCTTACAACAATTCTGAAAAATATCCGTCGTGACTAAGTTTTTTCACGCGCGTGCTTCAAATGACCCAATTAGTGCTTCTAAATTAGGGTTTCAATTTTAAACCCATAAGTATAACGTTAAAGACACTTGTTCTTCAAAACTCAAGTCTCGATATGCTTCCTAAAGAAATATTAAGATATTATAAATAAAATGTAGTTTTTCGGATCCGCACTATCTTCAAACTTAAAATATATTATTAGTACACACGTCAACCCGACCCAATTCATTATTTTGCACTCTAACAAAACAATCGAATTAAAATATTAAAAAAATATATGTACACCACGAGAAAATATGGAAGTAGTGATTAAAAAAGAACCCATAAATTGTTCACAATTAAAACAGCTGCCATTAGAGGCCACCACCCTCTTATGAACGATCTCGAGCCATTTGATCCACTGCAGACGAGCTTGTGGTCATGGTAACTGCACACCTTATGGTTCCTGCATGTTAATATTTAATATTGAATTAGAGTTTATCGTATATATCATATTTGATCATTTATTAGAGTTTTTATTTTATTTTATTAGGATTAAAATTAATATTTTTTAAATTAATTTCTCTAAATTTTTACCTGCCGGAGCAAAAGCTGACGACGTAATCGGCGGCGTTGCAGGTGAAAATACTGGTCGGATCATCGTACGCATAACTATACGCCGTCGGACACGCCTCCTTAAACTTCTTCGAGTAAACCGTCGGCCGGCAAGTCGACGGGTTCCCATAAGATCCTCTGCAACAGTACTCATCGGTGTTAAACACATCGCAGGCGCTCCGGCAGGCGATGACTTTCCCTTTCGATTTTACCGCCAATGCCGACGGGCAATTGGATCTCAAATCGCTATCGCAGCCTGCCAGGCCGCACTTTCCGGTTCCGTTGATTGGCGTCACCGCCATCGGCAAATTGAAGCCGTCGACGAGGCTGACGTCGTAAAAATCGAGGGCAGCGAGGGTGAATTCGGCTAGGGACGCCGGAGTCTCTCCAGAGCCTTGACATTTGAGGGAAGTTCCACAGGCGCCGGTTTGGCATTGCCCGTTTCCGGTCTGGTCGAAGTTGCAACCGGTTCGACCCCATATCCGACCGGACCAGCCTACTGGCGCCTTGAAAACTATGGATTGACCGCGTTTTAGTGCAAAACCGCCGCCGTTGAAATGCTCTCCTGGGAAGATCGCCGGCCAGATTGTTTCTTTGCAGTTGTTTATTATGGTGAAAGTTCGAGAGCTCTCCGATGTTCTTATTTCTGCCGTTTTGCCAATAAAAATAAAATAATAAAATATTTTATATTCATTCATACTAAACAATTTTTAAATTATAAGTTAAATTTAAATCTGTTTCATTTTTTAGTTACTAAGGAATCCACGTGGATTTTCTAATTCTATTATGATTTACATTTTTTTTTAGATGTCGATTATACATATTTTATTATAATTAATTTACCTTTCGCAATACTGACATTTTGTACTTAAAAATATATATATATATATATATATATTTAAAAAAATTTAATAGGGAAAATTAAAATCATGCCTCTAAATGGAAGGGAATTGGGTTTTTTGTTTCTCGTTCCCCTCTTCAACCAATGTGGGATCTTACAATCCACTCATCTTAGAGGCCCATCGTTCTTTCTAATATACCGCTAGTGTCTAGCTCTCTCACAATCCATCTCCTTAGAAACCCAGCGTCCTTGCTGATACACTGCCTCGGTACATGGCTCTCTCACAATTCACCCCCCTTAGGAACCCAGTGTCTTTACTGGTACACCGCCCCGGTGCATGGCTCTCTCACAATCCACCCTTTTAGGGGCCCAGCGTCCTTGTTGGTAAACCGTCAGGTGTCTGACTCTCTCACAATTTATTCCCTTAAGGACCCAACGTCCTCACTAGTACACCACCTCGATGCATGGCTCTTTCACAACCCACTCCCTTAGAGGCCCAGCATCCTCATTGGTACACCACCAAGTGTCTAGCTCTCTCACAACTCATTCCCTTAGGGACCAGCGTCCTCGTTGTTACACCACCCCAGTACATGGCTCTCTCACAATCCTCCCCCCTTAGGGACCCAGCGTCCTCACTAGTACACTGTCTGATACTTCTCTCGAGACTTTAAAACATGTCTATTTAGGAAAGGTTATCAACGTCTTAATTGAAAAAACAAATAAAAAAGAAAATTACCTGATGAGAAAATGATGAGAAGGAAGAAAAAGAGAGAGATTTGATGAAGAGGTGGAGCCATCTTTGTTGATACAATAAAAGTAAAGAGTTGAAAAGCATTTATACAAAGCAAAACGAGGAGAAGAGGAATAGAATTGGTTTGGAGACAAGGATAACTTGGACTTTAAAAATTTTAATAAATAAATAAATTAATAAATTAATTAATAAATAAATAAATAAAATTCATTTTTGGAGATTCCTTCCCTGACCCTTTACATCAAGTTTATTCAAAGGTTCTTTACTGTCTCTAATAGCCCACTCAAGAGAAAACCCAATTTCTTAAACTTCTTCATTTTCCAATAATAACCCTAACTTCTGAATTCAAATATTTATATACCCATTAAAAAAATTAAATCATCGATTGAACTATACTCATGTTGAAATTTTAATTTACTTGAATTTTACCAAATTGCTTATCCACACAGAAGAAACAAACTTTTATTTATTTTTGGATGGTTACAAATTTTGATGGATGATAATATAGAGTTATGATATTTCTTTAATGTATTTTAAGATTTTTTATTTACATTTACATATGGACTAATTATGGTCATAAAATATAAACGTTAGTATTTATATTTTGAAGGTATATGAAGTCATGTATGTTATATTTGTAAAGTAGACTTAACGACGTACTAAAAAGAGCATTTGTGTTTTCTTTTAGCCAATGATTAAGTTTCTTTGTAATTATATGTAGTTCAGATTGCATGTTTAGAATTATTCAAGCTTGACATGATTTATAGTTCTTGTAGAGTAAATTAAATTTCAAAATATAATTTTTTGATAATTTAAAGATATTTTTATTAATTTATCAAATGTCGTAAAAATTATTTTGAAACTAATCGAATTTTTTAAGTGGTTTGATCATTAAACAAAACGTGTTCGAGATCCATCTCAAACATATCGAAATGAATGTTTGAGTAGTATTAGACCATCCAGTCTCAAAAGTGAGTAATATTAACCAACTTGTCTCAACATCGGTTCAACTTGAATATCAATTTAAATAAACTTTTATTGGTAAGTTTACACCTTAGCTCGAATGATAGGTCAATGGTGACACACCCATTTGGAAACACGCATAAACAAATATCAATTAAAAATTGAAATTTAATGAAAAATTTAATACGTCAAAGTTTTTTTCCCTCTAATAAGCAGAGTGTTTATATGACTTGAGAACCTGACCAATCCAAATTATAAAAGGTTGTGTTGGGTTAGATTATTTTTCGACCTCCATTGAGTTGAATTTTTGAAACACTCCAGTTTTAAAATTATTACGAAAATTAAAAATATTTAATAATTTAGTGAT